CTCAGAACATACACAGCGAGGGGCTTTGAACCCCGAGCTAAGGGACTTTTTGGATTTGAATCTAAAAGGCTAAAGGTACTCAAGCTAGAATGTGAACTTACTGCTGGAAATACTCCTGGTTATAGCAGCTGTCAAGTTATGAACAAGTGAGAAAGAAATCATCTATATCCCAAAGAGTGGGGATTTCTAACTTCTCTGTAACATCTGCTAGATGAGATGTGGGACTGTCACTCCTTTACCCACATGGTCCAATATGATGGAGTACCTACTCCATGTGAGGCAGAGCTCTCTCATCCCTACTCTCTGCCAGCAAATTCAGCGACCTCCATCTCCAAGGGAAATAGGTATGGCCAGCCAAATTCCATCCACCCCATTGCACCAGTTCTGATGCCTTAAAGTGGCCCATCAGGCATTAGCATTCTGAGTTTTCCTCTTTCTCCTCCTCCTCCACAAAGTCTCTTCTCTCCCAAACTTGCTGGAAAATCATCCTTTGACTTTTTCCCAGTGAGGGAAGTGCCTCAAGCCAGCCAAGAGCCAAAGGAAGCCAGAGATCAGCAGGTGAGTCCAAGCACCAGGCCTCAGGCACACCTAGCTTTGGAGAAAGGCCGGGCCTTCCCATCTCAGCCTGTCTGTGCTGCGCCTCTGTCCCTTCTGGGATGATTCCAGGCCCACAGATCATCCAGTTCCCCCAGTGGCAGTAACAGATTTACACAGACAGGTGGGACAGCAGTCCTCCCTTCTGCCCCCTGAGCCTTCTCACCCCTGGAGCCACAACCTCCTCCTCACTCCCCCTTAAATCCAACACAACTGGAGAAGCCACCTCCAGGCATTCCTTCCTTGTCAACTCCAAAGCAAGCTCCAACCACCGCACTTCGGTGATCACTCAATCCGGCCTTCCAGTTAAGGAGTTTGCAACTTCTGCTCATTTTGGAAACCACTGCAGGATCTGAGGAGCAAACAACACTCTGTAAACCAGACATCAGAGGAAGCACAGAGCAGACAAATAGCCTGTGTCTGCCCCTCCGCTTCACCCCTCCCCTAGGACAGCAGTGACCAGGAGCAGTTACTGCCTTCTGCCTTTCCCAGCTACGTCTCAATCGAGATGGTTCCCCTGTAATATTAATTAAAAACAGATTCTTTTTGGCAAACAGCTTCTGTGGCAGGCTTCTTTATTAAACCTCCGAGAAGGCAAAATGCATTAAGATATTGTGACATTGGGAACTGTGAGCAGACACGATGGAAGCGAGACAATCCAGCCAAAAGCTATTTGAAAAATCTGTTTGGGAGCCACAATTAAATGCTCGAGTGAGTAAAAGACAATTAATCTGATCAAATCTGCCACTATTTTGCACATTAGGAGTAAATATTTTAGAACACAATTCAGTTGAATTAGTTAAGGGTATGAAATCTCACCTGGGAGAATCTGTGTATCCCCCCCGCCCCCGGCCCCAGTGTGCCCAGGGAAGGGTGGTCTGCTAGGCACCTGGAATTATGAGCATCTCCCATTTCTCTTCACCAAGGTGCCATGTTGGGCACATTAACTGAAAACTATCTGGCAAGCCATTCCAACCAGATACACTGCAGGCCTGGCAACCTGCAGGCCATCGCCTCTGGGAAAGAGCTGCTGGAAAGGAGGGAGGGTCTGTCTAAGGAGAGGCCGTGCTCTCACCTCAATACCAGGAGTGGGGGAGTTGGGGAGTCCCCACCAAGGTTTACTCCAGGGAGGAGGAGGCCTTCACAACTCCCCACAGCCACTTGCCAACTCACAGGCTACACAGAGAGGTTTCTTCTTTCATTTGTAGAAGGGCAGAGTGATGATCTCCTGCTCCCCTATAAGGCACGAGAACTGGGCTCCCTCTGGGTGTTTGGGAGACGTTCTCTAACTCATTAATCACCAGGATCCCAGCTGGAGACAACAGGAGGGAATAAATGGCAAATTACTCAGACTCCAAGTCCGAGTCCACTCACCTCTCCCCCAGAACACCTGGCAGGGCAAGGACAGTCAGCGAGGGACTGAGATTCCATTTCCTCCTGATGCCTTCTGGCTCCAGCCTGCTGGGCAACCCCCGCCCCCCAACACCAAGCCATCCCTCCCCACTTCTAGGGCCAAAGTGAATACATGTTGCAAACCTGGGACAAGGATATATCCTTCCGCCCACAGAGCCCCTGGGCACACGCCAGACACACAGGGCGGGGTGGAGGTCCCTGTCTTGAACGCTCACCTCTGCATGCCTGACCGCTGCAAACTGTCAGAGTGGAGTGCAATTTCTAGTTATACGGGGTGACTGAAAGCTCCCCCGAAAGGAGCTCATGTCAAGTAATGAGGTCCACCAAAGGCACTTGGGAGGAAAGGTGTTAATTAATCTGGTGGCCTTCCCAGAGTAGCACATATTTAACACTTCTGAAGTCAGAAGAGAAGATGCAATTCTCTTTTCCTGTCAAAAGAGCCTGACGCTAGGACCCACATTCTCTGCCCTGGGGCCATCTCTCTCCACGAGGAAACCAGTGAGGAGGGGACCTTTTGGAGGTTCATCATCCCACTGCTCCTGGATTTTTTTTTTTAGAGCACCTTCTTCTGCCCTTGGACAGGGAGAGAGGGGAAAGAAACCAACTGGGTAATAATATAGCAGAAACTTGTTTCCCAATTAGTCTCTTCAAAGTCTCTCAAAGATAGGGTCATGTTAGCCTGTTTCTCCATCTTCCCTCAGAGCAGCCCAGATCTGATGCTCAACAGAGCCTTTCTCACTAGTACTGTGTGCAAAGGTGGTCAAAAGAGGCGGGTCCAGCCCAGGAGCTAAAGAGGCAGTCCTCTGGACCAAGGAAAGAGGACACCATGGGGTGTCTGCACCCATCTGTGCTACCTTGTCCTTTGCTTGGACAATAAGACAGGCCACCAGCACAACCAATAAACCCCTGGGGGACTGTCTGTGGACTGTCCAGATCTCATCACTGTTACTAAGGAGCCAAGGCCAACTGGTCCACTTCACAAACCCTTCTGGTCTTCTCTCAACTGGAGAGCCGTTTCCCCAGAGAGCACTGGGCAAGACTTGCCCCCTCGCTTCCTCAGCTGCACAGCTGCGTGGAAGATGGGCAGAGACGGCTGTGCTCATTTAACTACTATTTACAAAGAGCACTCCTTAAAATTCCATCTTCAGGGGCTTTGTACACACATACACACACAAAGGATCCTTAAAATAAAAGCAGATGCATACAACTCTTCAGAGCAGAGTGAGTTCATACTGTCTAAATGTGTCAGTCAGTAATAAAGTCACAGACACTAAGGACATCCCCTCCTCGCCCTAGGGTGCATTTACTTCAAGACATCCGTCCCTCCTCAGCCGGTGAGAACACAGAAAGGAACACACACACACACACACACACACACACACACACACACACACACACTTGAGTCCCCTGGGAACTTGTAAGTTTTCAATCACCCATCCCTGCAAAGGCCCACATTGCCCGCCCCCCACACCCAGAGCTACCCACTCCGAAGTTACAGGGGTCTTCCCTGGAGGCAGATGAAGCAGCCACCACCCAGTCCGTCCCACCCAGCACCCAGCACCCAGCACCCAGGCTGGCTACCCGCACTGTCATTAAGAACCAGGGAATCTGTACTCAGGATGGCTGAAGTGCTGCGCTCTGCAGACTCCTAGCTTTTCTGTTATTCGCTTCTCACCCCGGTGACAGCCCCAGCCAGGCCCCCTTCAAATAAGGCGAAAATTTCCCCGGGAAATCGTTAATGCCAGTCATGAAGAGATACACAAAGGGAGGAGGGCGGTGCTTTCCCATCGAATGAGTTCCCCAAAGCTGCCTGTGCAGACATCCATCATCCTCCTGCCCAACGCTGGGTTGCCATCTGATCCGGAGAGCCAGAGAAGAGAAAAGGATTTTTGTGAGACTGGCTGAAGTGGGGGCGGAAGTGAGGGGAGTGGGGTCGATCCCGGGAGGCCGCCCCCCTCCGCCCGGAGAGCCCATTCCCCGGGGCTCCTAGGCTTGGCGGCACAGAACGGGGTGCGAGGAGTTGGGTGGGGAGAGACCCCTCCCTGCGCGCTCTGCTCTGCTGGGCTGCAGCGGACGGTGCTCGGAAGCCCAGCGCTGGATCCAGAGCTCAGAGCCACTGGAGTGGACTCAAGGGCGCCACCTCTCGATACAGCCGCTTCCAGGGGAACCTGGCCGCGGAGAAAGGAGTGGCGAGGTGTGCTGAAAGCACCCAACTTCCCTCGGGGAGCTGCTTGTAGTGCAGGACGATGCAGCCGAGGCGAGTTTATTTGTTCAGGGGCTTGTCTGTGCTTGTGCATGCTTGGGCAAGGGGTGCGGAATGGATGCTGAATTTCACTTCATTCTTTAAACTTTTTTGCTGCCTCTCCTATAGCATTCCAGGGCAGCTGCCCAGGTTTGGAGGGGGAAATCCGTGTCGCCGGGAGGCCTGACAAGGGTAGGCTTGGCCCTGCTTATTGCCCGGGCTGGGAGAAAGAGGGCCGGGAGCAGAGAGTGGGGACCCTAAGGCAGGCAGGAGTAGGGAGTCCCGGGTTCCCGTCCTCGTGACTGGAGGGGAGAAGGGGGAAGCAAGCCCGGGCCGTGGCAGGGATGCATCAGACTGTCCAGCGGCTTCCTCCCCAAATCAGGGTTCTCACCCACGAATTAAATCGCCCAACAGGAAAACTGACTCTCCACGCCGTGTACCACAGAAAGTGACCACAGATCCTTCCTCTGCGCAACTTTGAGCTCCTTCTTCCTCTTCTCCCCTCCCAGCAGCCGCAATCCTAGGGTCTCCAACACACACACACACACACACACACACACACCCATCTTCCAACAAACTCCACTAACCTGTTGGGGGCGTGGGGAGCGCTGGATGAACCTGTTGTCTCTAAAAGTCATGGCGCCCCCCCACCCTCTACCCTCGAGTAACTATCTGTCCCTCGTTCCTGCCCCCCATTCTCCTTTGCTGTGGGGCGAAAAGGAGAGCCACCGCAGCCCGGGTGGGTACTCACGCTGCTGTTGTGCCCCGACCAGTGCACCATGGCTTGGTTGTGGGCCGAGTCCCCGGTCAGTGCGAACGAGGTGCTAAGCAGCCTGAGCTCTTCAGCTGCCGCACCCCCAGCCCGCGATGCCTTCACCTCCTCCCGGAGACCCTTGGCCAGATGACGGCTTCCTTTGGAACCATCGGATAAGGCAGTGGCCCGGGTGTCCTCGCGTTCCAGGGCACTAGGGGGTTGCGCTCGGCGACTCCTCCTTGAGCTGCCAGGTTTGCCAGTAGCCAATATGTCCTGTCCCCACCGTGCACCTGCCGAGGACAGCCCCCCGGCTTCTCCCTGCTTCTTTCTGCCACTGATGCCGCCTGGATGGAGTAGCGGCTCTGGTCCGGGCTGGTGCCCCAGTGCGGCGCCTCTCCTTGCTGTCGCCAGCTTCTCCGGCCACTGGCTTTCCACTGCCCGCGGCAAGAGAGGAAGCAGCACAGGGGACCGTGAAGCCGGGCCAGTGGGGCGCCCAGGACCGCCTGTCGCACCCCAAGTGATCTCTGCACCGGCCAGGACCCACGTCGACAAGAGCAGGAGCCCAGTCCTGGTGAGGGGCGCCGCGGGCCAGCCTGTGGGGCGCTCCGTGCGCGCCACCTCCATCCCGCTGCGGCTGCCGAGGCTGGGGCTGCCGAGTGTGTGGAGCCTGCCGAGGTGCTGGTCCGGCGTGGGGGTGTGCGTGTGCAGGCGAGCAAGCCAGCGAGTGTGTGTCGGGGGAATGGGGAGGGGGCCGCCGGGAAGAAGGTGGCTGGGGCTGGCGCGCCTCCTGGGTCCTCTCCACTCTTCCCTCCTCGCTCTCTCTCTCGATCTCTCGCTCTCTTGTCCAGAGGATGATTCCAAACCCGGAAAAAAATTAATAAATGCCCCTTCGGCGCTTTTTCCCCCCTTAAAATAAGATCCCCAAAATCTTCCCCACCGAGCTCCAACAGAAATTTTGTTTAAAAAAAAAAAAAAAGAGTGTTCAAAGGTAAAGAGAAAATTCTCTTTTAAAATATGAAACCCAAGCCAGATCCAAGAGAAGGTGCTGGACCCCAATCCGGAGTCTCTCCGAAATCCAGCCTCCAACCTGCTCCCGTTGACGAGTTGGGAGACGCTTCTTGCAGCTTTTAGGGGGTTACTCTTCCGGCCTGTTGGGTGGGGGTGGGGGAGATGGCACGCCGGGAGGACAGAGGGGGTCTCAAGGGAAGAGGAGGAATGAAGTGTTTTCAGCGCCAACTGTTCCGGTTGGGGAGCCAAGGGGGAACCCAGCCAGAGCCTGCGCGTGGGGAGACAGCACACGGAAGCTGAGCGCGGGATGGACCAGGGACTCCACTCCCGGCTCCTCGGCCCGCCCCTCCCTCTCCTCACCACCACCACCCCCCCAACCCCTCGCAGCCTGCACCCCCGCCTGGGCGGGGGCTCGTAGAGTGATCCTGTGCGCCTGCGTGAGCGAAGGCGGGCAGGCTAGCGAGGGTGAGGTGAGGGGTGAGCCCCGGGGCGGGAGTACCCAACTAAGCTGGAGCTGTCTGGGTGTGCGGAGGTCCTCGGCTCCTCGCGTGTGCATTTGCACGCGTACGTGTATGTGTTAGTGTGAGCAAAGGAGGTGTGGGGCGGGGAGGGCGAGCTCGGGCTGTGGCTGTGGGCAGGCGCGGATCACGCACGGGCTGTGCTTGCATTTTTATGAGCCTGCGAGTTGTCAGAAAGGCAGGCGTCTCAGGACACCGCCCCTCCTCCTGGCGCCCAGTGTACCCACGGTCCCCCACCACCTGCAGATGTAACCGGGTTGTTCCTTAAGCCTACAGAAGGCGTGGGGAGAGAACTGGGAGGCTCCAGCAGTGGCATGAGGGGCTTGCACTCTCCTGGGGCCCCCAGTGGTAACTGGAGATCCTGGCACTCACCTGGAGGATCCAGACACTCCCCGCCCCCCCATACCCCTCGTCTCGCCTAGATTCATTTGTGAGCATTTCTGAGTGAGCCCAGTTGTTCTTTCAAATTGTCCGCTGCCAGCTCAAGGGTCCAGCCCTCCCGTAACCCCCTGCAGAAGCGCAGCTGGAACGCATCGACCCTGTGGGAAGAGGGAGAGTTCAGGAGGGCTGGGGAGAAGGAAGGTAAATCTGAGCTCGACCTGGAGAGGTGGTTGACAGGCCCCGGGGCTTGCCGTTCCTCCAGCGCCTCCGAGAAGCTCCCCAATTTCCAGGGGTTGAAAAGGCCCAGATGGGCGAGCTGGAAGAGGAGTTACTTTGTTAAAGGGCAGGATTTAGCGAGGCGGCTTGGTGAGCTTGCCGACCTCAGGCTCTTCTCTTCCCCTTGGGGGATTAGAAGACTTTCTTTGTGGGGAATAGTTAAGACAGAGCTAGAGGGAGGGAAAGGTAAGGAAAGAAAAATGAGAAGAAGCTGAAAGAAGAAAATGGAGGGGAATATGGAGAGAGATGAAAGGGAAAGGAGGAAGACTGGAGAGATGAAGAAGTGGAGGATGGAAGGCAAGATAGTGGTGGTGCAAAGGGACAAGGGAGAGAAAAGGAGAGTTCCTAAAGTGGCGGGAGGGGGGTGCGGGGCGGGGGGGGTCCAGAGGCCTGGAGGAGGCGGAGGAGGTGCCTCGGAACCTGAGCCAGGTGCGCGAGGGCGACAAAACGAGGTTCTGGAGTCCCCCTCCTTAGCTAACTCGCTTTTCCAACTGGACCTAAAACGGAAAATGGGAACCGAGAAGACTGCGCGGGACAACCAAGCTGGCAATAACATCCAGCCCAGAATAAGACGGGTCCTGGTGTCTGAGGGTTTCCAAAGACCGCGGGCGATGGGCCGCCCCAGGAAAAGTTCTGCTCCGCAGGCTAACATGGGCGCAGGATCGGAAGCAGACCATCAGCGGATGCCCAGCGCCCCCGCCGGGGAAGGCTCCGCGCTGCAGCCGGAGCCGCAGCTTGGGGGTTTGGGAGCGATGCGAAGCTTCCTCTCTGCTTGGGCACTGAGCGGAGGTGGAAAGTGGCACAGGGTGAGGGACCCGGCATGCCAAACCTCAGGCCCTCAGAGAAGGGCCAGTCCCTGAAGCTCTCTGGAGTCCCCCTAAGGAGGGAGTCCTTCTCAAGAGCAAGGCTGAGGTCTCCCCTCGCTCTCTCCACCAGAAGAAGCCCCAGCCAGACAGAGCCTGGGGAAAGGTTGGATCCTGGACTTGGGGAGATGTGGCTATTAAGTATTTGTTTGGAAAAAATGGATAGAAGACTCTCACGTGCACCTCCCTCCGCAGCCTCCCGGTCTCCACCGACCTTATCGAGTACCCAGACTTCTCCCCAGTTCTCTGTACACCTACAGTCTCCCCTTCCTCACCAGCCTCACTCTCCTGGACTTAAGCAATCTGGCCTTTGCCTTTGGGTGGGTCATCGAAGCCCTACCCACAACAAATACCACCACTGGCTTCCAGAGACAGCCCCCAAACAGCCTCTGTTTCCTGCATTTGTAAATTGGTCCCATCTGGAAAGATCTCCCTCGGTCTACACAGCACCATGACTAGTGGCTGTGGTTTTAGATAGCACAGCTCCATACTGTTGGCAGAAATAGCCTCTTAAAATGTAAGGAAGAGTATGTCATAGACTGCCCTCCTCAAAATTCTTCATGACCAACTGTTACCCAACACGTCCAAATTTCTTAGGATGGTGTCCAAGCCTCCAGGCACTGCCTCATCTCCACGGACTCTTTTACCAGCTGCCTTAAGCCTGTAATCTGCCCTCTGCCGCAGTTTCCATCGTGGTGTGCTTAAATGCCAGCTCTTCCGTGAAGCCTGCCCCCACTATCGAACAGTCCCTGACACCGGACGCATTATTACCACCACCACCACCACCATCATCATCACCAATTTCTTTGTCTCCCTTCCTGCTATAAGATGGGATCTGCACAGCACCTACTGGGAATTTAAAAGAGAGGGCAAGGGCTGGATTGGGCACCCCTTTCCCTTGCTGGCAGAGTCCTGCTTCAGCTGGGAAAGGCAGGTTGACAGCTGGGCTCAGCCCTCCCCAGACCCAGTGAGGAGAGCAAAGGAGGCCTCTCTGAATAAGCATTTTCCTTCCAGGTTTCCTCCCTGTTACAGACAACTGGAGGAAATGAACTGTATGCTACAAGTTACCCATGAGATTACACTAAATGTCACTCTAATGCAATGCCTTTCAGGACCTTTTTTTTTTTAACCATTACAGTGAAATAACTTCGGGGAACTGTTCTTTTCCCTGACATCACACACACACACACACACACACACACACACACACACACACACTTACTCTTCCAACCCCTTAGTAACCTGACAGATTCTTGCTATTAGCACCCAGGGCCAACACAGATAAACATTTCAGCTGTGCCTGTTTCTCATACTTTAGAACATGTTCAACACTCCTTATATAAGGATCTAAAGACAAATTCCATATAAAATTTAGATCCAGGAAAAAGTGGGTTTCTCCTGTGAAACTGACATCCTTTCTTAAAGGCTTTGAAGTGCTTTTGTCTTCTCACTTTGTCTTCCTCTTGTCTTGAAAGTCAAGCTAAGCACTGGGTTCACTTGCATTAAACAGTCTCTAGAACAAGATCTTTATCTCCTGCTCCCCTTTTACTAAATGTTGTGTTTTATTGTTTGATACTCTTTACTCTTACTATCTCTGTGCATTGTTGATAACCCACTTCACACGCTTTTGAGAACTAAATAGGAAATTAATTAATTGATTAACATCAAAACAACAGTGCACATTGTAACTTGCTGAATTTCCACAGAGGCAAATGACTAGGAAAACAAAAAACCTGAAATGCAGATAAAAACAGTCACAAGACCACTGAAATCAGGACTTTCTACCACTGTGTGCTCTTGTAGGCAAGAGGAGTCTATTTTGTTCAACACCATATCCTCAGCACCTGGCCCAATCCCTGGCACAGCTCTGACCCTCAATTAATGCTCAATAAAAGATGAAAGAAATAAATATAAATAATATGTTTATGTTCTTTTGAATTAGTGTTTCAGGTTTCTTAAGATAAATTCCCGGAAGTGGAATTGCTGGGTCACAAGGCAGTTCCATTTTTAATTTTTTGAGGTACTATGGTCATTGCAGCATTATTTACAATCACCAAGACATGAAGCAGCCCAAATGTCTATCAGTAGATGAGTAGGTAAAACAACTATGGGACATTTACACAATGGAACACTACTTGGCTATAAAAAATAAGAAACTTTCACCCTTTGCAAAAGCATGGATGGACATGGAGAACAACATTATGCTAAGTGAAATGAGCCAGTCAGAGAAAGACTAGTACCACATGATTCCACTCGTATGTGGAACCTAATGAACAAACTGAACTAACAAGCAAAACAGAGATAGACTCAGAGATTGAGAGCAGGCCCTTAGAGCTCTGGGGTAAGGGGGTTGGGTTTAGAGGTTGGAGGTATAGAACAAAAAAGAAAAAGGACTCTCGGACATGGACAACAGTGTGGTAGTTGTTGCACGGGTGGGGATAAGGGAGACAAATGGTAATGGAAAAATACAATAAAAATAAATTTTAAAAATAATTTGAAATAAATAAACATAAATAATATTTTGCTGCAGCTATTAGTCATCTGGTCTTTTCAGCATATGTATACTTCCTAAGGAAGC